GGATTTAATAGATTAATAATAGATTAAGAGATTAATTAACACATTTGCTGTTYTCCGTTTACATATTATTATGTTTTTATAATAATGATCTCTGCCACAGRCAAGCAGCTCCTGGCACTAAAAACGTTTAATAGGTGACCACAGCAATAGATGAGTGCTGCTCTTCTGTCCATGGCGCAATTAGGATGAGCTGAAAACAAACAAACAGGGAAAACTTGGGGYGGAGCGGGAGGAATGAGTTCTTCAAATTGAGTTTCTATGGTTGGGAACGTGGAGCTTTGCATCCCAACAAGGGAAAGGTGTGACTGCCGAGGCCGGAGCGGCCGGTGCAGCCGCGCGGCGCCCAGACCCACACGCCTCGCGAAGCCGGACACGGGATCCCGCCTGCTTCCCAAGGGACGTCGCTCTCTAGGAACTCCAAGACGCCTCCAACTTGCACGTTTTTTTAGGGCAAATAAGACACATGTTGTTTCTCCTGCTACACTTTTATCTCCGTAATCAGTCCTGCTAATTAACACTTTTGTGACATGCAAAAAAGAAAAATACCTCTATTCCTGCACCCATTACTCACAAAGAGATTATTTTATGATTCATCTAAGCGATTCACATACTGTAATTAAGAAGAGCTCTACAGCTAATTGCATCTTTACCAAATAGTTTAATAATCAGAGTAGTGCCTTGACAATCATCTTTTTAATTGCATATATGCGATGGATGTTGTGTACAAACTCCAGCTCATCAGAAATAAATAGACAAATGCGTATTCCTGTGACAGCAAGTGGGATAATTTTAGGCTCAGAAAACACTGAAAATGCTCAACCTGGCTAGCAAGTGTTTTTTTGAATTGCCTTGAGCTCCCCAGGCAAGACTGTGAGCGCRGGGACCCACTCTGGGTTGTTAGAGGACAACCCACCGGTGTCCCACGGTGGGATTCGCTGCCAAGCTGAATATACTTACGGCAACGGTGGGAATGGCCCACCTGGAGAGAGACGCCAGGTCCGAAGGGCAGGCGGGAGCGCTGCGGTCTGTGCGTCCCGTCTCGGAGCAGGACCAGGCTCGCTGAAGCAGCCAGCTCCAGGACACGGGCACTGCTCCCCGTGTCCCTTCTGGGCCGTGTCCCGGCCGGGGACACCCTGTCCCAGCCCCGCGCGCCTGCTCACGAGGGCTGTGCGCTCCCTAAGAGCAGGTCCTGCCTGCCCCGCTGCTCTAAGCGCACACAGACCTTGTCTTCCTCAGCTGCTTTGGGGCTCCCAGGCAGCGGGCACCAAGGGCCGCGGGTGTCCCCTCCAGCAGTGACGGCCGCAGTGACGGACACACGTTGACAAACGGCAGCGCAGGGAGCCCCAGGCCTCAGCTCAGCCGCGAAGCACCTGAACAAAAGGCCACGGGAGGCCTGGGAACCTCACCTGCTTGTGGGTGCCCTCRCGCCCTCACCACCAAGCAAAGCTGCATCTCAGCCCAGGCTCCGGCTCTGCAGCCTCCCTGCTGTGACCCAGGGGCACTGGCCTCGGTGGCCGCTCCGCACACGGGACACGAGGCCGGTTCTCCCTTAACGGTGCTAATGGCCTCGTCCACATGCAGGGCTGCTAATCCACACGGTGCCTGCCCGACCTCCTCCGTCACCCCCGGGCGTCCTGGGCAGGGGCAGGACATGACTCCAGCCCCCCGRGCGCTCCCACAAAGCCTCGGACACCCCTGAGCGTCGTCAGCGCCTTTTTAATAACCGTGTTAACAAAACAAAGGAATTACGCCACAAAATCATCAAAAAATAGAAATAAGCGTCTGCCACAGCTAGGAAAGCGAGGAGAGGTGGCGCACGAGGCGGCACGCGAGGCGGGCGCGCGGCGCAGCCCGGCGGGAGGAGCGGGGCTGTGCGGAGGCTGCCGCGCCGCCACGCAGCACGTGCTGTGCTCCCGAGGGGCCCAAAAGCGGCTGCCGCCCCTGGGGCCCGGCCGGCGCGGGAGCCGCCGAGCCCGTCCCTGCCCCGCTTGGCGCCACCRTCTCCCCGCACCACGACCACGTTGGCACCGCAGCGGCGGCTCCTCCCTGGCGTGCGTGGTGGTCAAGGTGCCGCCGCGGAGCAGGCGGAGGGTGCGGYGGACAGCGATGCTGCGGCGGCTGGACAGGACGCGCCAGGGTCCCCGTGACGCTGCGGTGGGCGGGAGGGACGCACCGGGGTCCCTGTGATGCTGCAGCGGGGGGACAGGATGCGCCGGGGTCCCTGTCACGCTGCCGCGGATGGACGGGACGCACCGGGGTCCCTGTGATGCTGCAGCGGGGGGACGGGACGCGCCGGGGTCCCTGTCACATTGCCGTGGATGGACGGGACGCACCGGGATCCCTGTGATGCTGCAGCGGGGGGACGGGACGCGCCGGGGTCCCTGTCACGCTGCTGCGGATGGACAGGACGTGCTGGGTCCCTGTCACGCTGCGGTGGGCAGACGGGTCGTGCCGGGGTCCCTGTGACGCTGCGGCGGGCGGACAGGACGCGCCGGGTCCCTGTGACGCTGCGGTGGGCGGACAGGACGTGTTGGGGTCCCCGCTCACGCTGCAGCAGCTGGACGGGACGTGCCGGGCTCCCCGCTCGCGCAGTGGGCAGATGGGACGTGCCGGGCTCCCCGCTCGCGCAGCGGCGTCCCGGGCGCTGCGGGAGGACGGGCGCGTGCGGCCGCCTCAGGCGCCCAGGGTCATGTTGCGCAGCAGCCACTGCTGCGCGCGGCTCCCGCTGCAGTCCCTCACGCTGGGCACCATCCTGTCGTCCTCGGCGGGCTCGGCCAGGCACTGGTTGCTGTTGGCGTGCCGCAGCGTCAGCCTCTGCAAGAGAGAAGGCAGCGCTGCGGCAGCTGCAGCGCGCACGGGGCGCGGGCAGCTCCCGGCCCAACGYGGCAGCTCCGGGATCGCGGGATTTACCCCCAGCCCCTGCACGCGCTTTGGATCCAACACGTTTTGAGGATATAAARGATCTACTTTATCTGATTTATCTAAGCTGGAGGACAATATGCATGTAGAGAGATCCAGGAAAGCTAAATGTGAAACACCACAAACATGAAACACCACGAACATGAAACACCACTAATATTAAATAAACACAAACACGAAACAYCACGAATAAAGGTGGGCATGGACTCCGTTTGAGGAGCGGGTGCTCCGCCCGGGGTGGCTCTGTCCCCGGGCTGGCCGTGGTGTCACCCGTGGCGGTGGCACGATGGCCCCGGTCTCCCCGGGCCCCGAGCCGCAGTGCCGGGGCCTCGCGTGGACTGCAGGGTTCAGCCCACGCCGGCTGCGTTTCCACCCGCTCTGCAGTGTTTTGAAGAGCAGCTTTCCCCGGTGCAAAGGGTTTCCGGCCGGGAACGTGAGCAGCACTGCCGTAACGCCATGGTGCACGGACAGGACGGCCCGTTTGAGACAGCAGCATCGCTGCRCAGGACTCACTAGCAACAAACATCACTTGTGTATCCTCGGAGAGGCAAAGAGCTGCAGGCCGGGGCTCGCTGGAAGCTGAGAGCCCCTGTGACAGGGATCGCTGCCACCGACCTTGCTCCGTAAGCCTGGGGACAGATTATGGATTATGGAGCCTTTTCCAAAACACCACCTTTCACACAATGTCACAGGCCAGAATTCGGCTCGCAGCCAGCACCAGAAACAGTGCATGCACTCCAGGCAAAGGATGCTAGTTTGGGGGTGAGATTCACRGTTTAATCTTAGCCACGCAAGCAACGAGGCGTCTTAAAGCAGCCMGCTCCTCGTTGGGAAGTCTCCTCTGTGGCTGCTCCTCACTGCGGTGACGTGTGCGAACACCAGGGCTCGGCCAGGCCTGATGTGGAACCCGATGTGAAGCACGTGCCCCTCGGCACCCGCTGCGGCGCGCACGGCAGCGCCGCGGGCACCGGCGCTCCTCAAAACCCAGCACGAGCCACCCAACCGACTACTGCTCCYGCCTCTGAGTGACCCAGTACCATTACGCAGACACGTGTCTGGTCTCGGGCACCGCCAGTTCCGCCCGGCACCCCCCGGGGATCAGTACGTCACGGAGCAGCACTCCTGATCCGTACCATCAATATTCTTGCAATAGCTGCTCCCTGGAGACCTGCTCCTCAGTTTCAAATAAACTATTATGCAATTCGCAAAGAAAAGCCTATAGATACTATAACAAATCATTGAGGGGCCATTTGATACGCATTCAATGATGAATATAAGGCATTTTTCTCTAATTACAAGAGGAAAGAATTAGTACTGTTAACAGAAGTAGTTTATTTGCTAAATAGCACTGTTCAAAGCATCACTGATTCTTCACTTATATTGTCTTAAGTGCAATTAAGCTGCTATCATCTTCTGCTATCACCACAAATGCAAACAAGCCTAAAAATGCTGCTGCCGCCCTCCTCAGCTGTTCCCTTTTATCCAGTGTATAATTTCATGCCAGACTACCATATCATTGGGATTTTCATCTGTCTTCCAAATGCCTTTTTCTGCCTTCTATTATTATTTACGCTGTTGAGAAAGAGGCCTCCTTTGCGTGGGAAACAACCAACTCCCCGGCAATGCTCCTAGGAGGCGGCGGCGCAGGCTGCCTTGGTGCTGGGACACGGGCGCCTGTTGGGATGCGGGGTGATGCTCCAAGGGCTGCACGGAGGGTCCTGCTCACTGCACCGGGCGCCCCAAGGCGCTGCACGCTCGGAGGGAGAGCTCGGGTGCAGGGAAGGTGGCGGGTGCAACATCGTGACTTCTGCTGTGGTGAGCGCGTCAGGATTGCCCACCAAGAGCGGCTGGCACCTTCRGATCGAGTCACTTCAGAAAAGAAACGTGTGTTTTCAAAACATTTCTATGCAAAAGAAAGTCTGTAACTGGCCTCACTTAACTGTGTTGGAAGAGGGGCTAAATGTTACTGTGCAGTAAACAGTAACGACTGTTCCAAACTCAGCACAGCATGGAGATGGCTCCAGGCAGGAGCTCGCCTCCAAAACTACGTGTAGTTTATGGCAACTATTGCTGAATGAGTAACGACTATTACTGAGTTCTGCTGTCTGCACGCGCTGCCGTGCTCATCCTCCACGGACCCTGCACCTGGGCAGCAGACCCAGGGGCTTCACGGACACGCGCTCCGCGGGGGATACCAACCTCGCGGGCAGCCCGCTACAGCACGTAGTCCGTGGGGCTGCGGAAGACGTTCCTCAGGACCTCGAGGCGCGAGTAGTTGCGCAGTGCCCAGGCCTGCACGGCGTGGCCGCTGCACGCCTCCACGGTGGGGCCGCGGCTGCCGTCCTCCACGCTGCTCACCGTCAGGCACGACTGCGTGATCACGTGCAGGAACGTGCGGCTCTGCGCGGCAAGGGCGCCCGTGAGCGCCCCGACACAGCCTGGCCGCCGGCGCCGTGCGGGGGGCAGCGCGGGGCCGGCCTCCCCCCGCACCCGCCAAGCCCACACTCTGCCCACAGTCTGCCAAGGG